TACTTTGTGGGATGAGAGGCAAAAAGGTTTAAGCAAAGAAATAAAAACATAAAACTTACTTTTTCAAAATGATCATTTTCTGTTTTCTGGGCAGACAAAACCGATGGACCAAACGGGGAATTGCTGTTGTTCCTACCAAATTTGGCATCAGCTTCACTGCACTTTTCCTAAACCAGGTCTGATACACAAACAAACAAATATTTTAAGTTTAAACAGTTCCTATTATTCTTTTATCGTGAGCAGCCTTGATTGGTTGTTTTGATTTGTCTTCAGGCTGGAGCTCTGGTTCATATCTACACAGATGGCTCAGTGTTGTTGACTCATGGAGGGACTGAAATGGGACAAGGACTTCACACCAAGATGGTTCAGGTAAAGGACTCCACTCATCTATTTACAATCCACATATTTATTTCAAACATCACATTGGATGTTTGAAATAAATGTACTCTCTCTCTCCTGACCTTTGGTGGAATCACACACAGAAATATTTATTGCCAATTCTTCTTCATAGATAAGGACACTAAACATTAAATAGCCTCTAAAAACTTCATTTGGAGTATCAAACGTTGCCGCTTTTATTAATTTTCTCAAGCACTTTTTAAAAAAATATTTTAAATACCTATGGTCTTTATAAAAACAGCATACAGTTTTTACACTACTGCAATTTAGTGAGAAGCTGGTCAGCCATTCAGAAGCATGCAGAACTGTCTTCGCTGTGTGTTTTCAGGTTGCCAGCAGAGTTCTGGGTATCCCCTCCTCAAAGATCCACATATCAGAGACCAGCACCAACACAGTTCCCAACACCAGTGCAACCGCTGCCTCTGCATCCTCAGACCTCAATGGTGCTGCCTTGAAGAATGCCTGCGAGATCCTGCTGAAACGTCTTGAGCCATTCAAGGCCAAGAATCCCAATGGAACGTGGGAGGACTGGGTAAACAGGGCTAAATTTGTCATAGTATTTTTTTTTTTTTTGTGGGGGGGGGTTATTCCCATTAAATATTCATCTTGTAACAGTACTTGGTGTATTTGTGTCTGTTTACCAGGTGAAAGCAGCTTACTTTGACAGAGTCAGCCTCAGTGCAAATGGTTTTTATAAGTGAGTTAACCAAATGAATCATTGATTAACTTCATATTACAACAAAATGAAAGGTTTCACTGTTTCCCTCTTTCTTATCAGGACTCCAGATATTGGTTATGACTTTGAAACAAACTCAGGCAGAGCCTTCAGCTATTTCTCCTACGGAGTGGCCTGTTCAGAGGTGGAGATAGACTGTTTGACCGGATCACATAAGGTCTGCACCAAGTACAGCTACATTTATCTGAGTTCAAACTCTTGAATCAAATGTTTAAAATGTTGATTGGTGGTATCGCACAAGAATCAGCATTAGGTCCCCTAAAATAGAGGTATTACAAAATTGTATGCCTGTAAAATATTACAGTATTCTGCTTAGTTGCATTCCAATCCGACTAGTCTTTCTGCTCAGCCACAGAACATTTTAAGGAACTTTTTCACAGTTTTTCAATTTTACTGGTAAATTCTGACTTGAGATATTTTCATGACGTATTTGTCTTACAGAACTTGAGTACCACCATAGTGATGGATGTTGGCAACAGCCTCAACCCAGCTATAGATATTGGGCAGGTGAGATATTCAAGTAGTAAATAAATAATTAAATATTATTCATACATACAGACAACTGATGGATTAATGAACCTATAAAAGAAACAAAAAACACATTTTTATGGTACTGATTCGTTCCTCATGCTCATGTCTACATTTAGGTTGAGGGAGCATTCATGCAGGGTCTGGGTCTCTTCACCCTGGAAGAGCTTCATTATTCACCCCAGGGAGTCCTCCTCACTCGGGGTCCTGGTTCTTATAAAATCCCTGCCTTCGGTGACATTCCTACCCAGCTTACGGTCTCGTTGCTTCGTGATGCTCCTAATGACAAGGCCATCTTTGCCTCCAAGGTAAGAATTCTGGTAATGCTCATGACAGTTTAAAAAGTGATGATCCTGGATCTAACGGACTTATACTTTTTGTTTTCCTTTCCCAGGCTGTAGGTGAGCCTCCTCTCTTCTTGGCATCTTCAGTTTTCTATGCCATCAAAGATGCCATCAGTGCTGCACGGGCAGAGTCAGGGATCACCGGGCCATTTAGATTGGACAGCCCTGCTTCTGCCGAGAGGATCCGCAATGCCTGCAGTGACCGCTTCACTAAACTGGTATGAAAATCTTGTGAAAGATCTGGCTTGACAAATCAGGCATAAAGGTTTAAATTTACGTATTTCCCAAAATTAGGAGAATCAGAAAAACATTGGCTCCATATGAGAGATGAGACAAGCTCCACTGGTAAAGTAGTAAGACCTGCGGTTTTTAATGGTTAATAAGGAACAGTGCAAACAATGTTAATGATTCAGCCAACCCAGTCTAAATTCCCTGAGTGAATAACATTATAGAACAAAGGTTGTTCAACATAAAAGTTTGATACCAGTAATAATTCTGGTAGTTAAAAAATGTAGCAGAATACTTTAAAATAGTCTTAGTGGACACACTCAGTACATAAAAATGAGAGTAATTACATCGTTCATGTTCTCATTGCAGCATAATGCAACTCCAACTTTTAACAAAATACTTTTTGTGATATTCAAGTTTCCATTAGCTTTTATTGTTAGCTTTTATGCCGACGACAGCATCCTGTCCATGACAAAGTTTTAGTGAGAATCAGGCCTTGTTACAGCTCTGGATTAACAGTTTTATTTCTTTTCTGCCCAGCTGACTCAAACTGCACTGTTGTCAGATTTGAAGAGATAGAATCCAGATAAACATGCAAAGAAAAAATCAAAAAAAATCAAAAAATCAAAAGTATTTCAGCTTTGTGGGTATAAAAAAGAACGGATGAAACAAATGACAACATTTAGGTTTTAAATTGTGAGATGGTTAAATCTTTTTCATGTCTTTAAAGGAGAAATTGAAAATATGCAGAAAGGTCATTTGGATAAAAGAAACTGAGAGACCTAAAACTGTTTATATTTGAACTTACCAGCTGTTTTTCTATTGCAGTGTCCTCTGGCTGAAGCAGGAACCTTTATCCCCTGGTCTGTTCGGGTGTAGGACGCTCCACTGATGATCAATCAAAAAACCTCAAGAACACATTAAGCCACGTTTAGCCTTGTTACCAGAAAAGCACCTGAAGGACCAAATATTATCCAATTATGACAGGATTAGAATATTAGGATATCCTGGTGTTACTCTAATCATTGTCTACTGATACAACATTAATATGAAAGAATTCAATATTTTTTGTCACACTTTCACTTTAATATTTCAGTTGTAATTTTGTAAATTCTGTATTAATTAAAGGGGACCTTTTCTGCATTTTCTGTTGCAGAGTATATATAATATTGCAGTGTTACAGAGCTAACTTTAGGTCATTATACAGACAAAGCACAGCTCATAGCCAAGAGCTGCTGCACTTCTCCAGGCTTTTATGAGCTGTCCAGTTATTAGAATGTGAGCTTTTCTGTGGGAGGGTTGTTAAAAAAGATAGCCAAAGATAGTTTAGATAGCCACCATGACCTAATTTCCTATTGATTTGGAAAGTCCTGTTGTCAAGCCTCAACATTTTGACCACTATAGTCTTTTTTCAAGCCAGAATTGACCACATTTGGAACAAGAGGGAGAGCTGTACATACACAGATATCTGCTTATAGGTGCTAAATAATGCAATAAAAGTCCTGCAATTAGCAGTTAGCCAAAGAGGTCACACATCGAATAATGCAAACTTTAAGCCTCTGTTAAATTAAACAGGCTAAAAACATGTTTATTTCAATTATAAAGCTGGACATTTTAACATAGGAGTTTATTGGGACTGACTCACTTTTAGAGCCTCACAGGCACATTAGGGGAACTGTAGGTGTTGGCTACACTTTTCAATCCCAGCAACTACGTCTTTGTTTCGCAGAAAAGGTCCAGTTTAAATTCTGACTGCTTTGCTCGAAGTAATTGTTGCAATATGAATGAAATAAACATATTAAACACATCTGTTGGTTTGAATTTTCTTCCTCTGACTCATGTTGTCAAAGTTAACATTCAGTCGTCCAGAGCCACCACTAAAGTCCTGTAAATAAAATGATGCTGCATGTGGTTTAAAACTCAAGAATGAATCTTTCAGGGATTTCAGGGAGCTGAAACATGTTTATCAATGTGACTGAAAAGAAGAACATTGAGTTGACATTTTGCTGACTGCATTAATGATCTGATTGATTGGTCTGAAAGCTGCAGCAGATTGACGTGAAGAGACTAAAGGATTCGTGCAGGTTTGGTTGGTGGTTAGAAAGTGATGGTACAAACACGCGAGCCTCATTCTTCACACACTGACCACACAATTAACATGGTGGTGACTATCAGTGAGTCTGAGCTGCTGTTACACCTGCCTGTGAAGGCCCAGCACACCTCACCCATTAAACACAGCTTGGTTACTTGAAATATTTATATATGTATGTGCACTACAGACACTGTAGTATGACTAAAACTGATTCACCGTCTGAGAGGCTCAACATGGTCTAATGGACAGATTTAGACAAAGAACTTAGACTCAAAGCAGGCTATCAGAGGGGAAAGGAGCAGCACCACACTTAACACTTACCCTGCTACACATAAATGTCCCCCATTATGAGTTTGGCTTGAAGTATTGGCTTCAGAATGTGCCTAAAAGTACTTCATATGCAAAATGTCCATAAGGGTTTATGTTCAAAGACTGAATGGGGAATATTTGTGTTTGTATGAATGTTTTATTTGTTAAATCGTAATGTTGAAAATCATGTATTATACTTGTGTTTGTCTGTAATTAATGTGAGGTTAATACAGATAAACTAATAACATAAAACATGAGGAGCTTGCTCTGTTGTGCAGTTACTGGTAAAACCAGCAGAGGGGGCTGAGTGGTTGTCATCATGAGGGAGAGGTTTCCCTCTTCCTGTGGTGATAAAAGAGAGAAAGACGAGCGGAGTTCTGGTTTTGGTTCCTCAGTCTCAGATGGATTATGGCTCCCAGGAGGATGGAAACCAAACCGGCGATCTTCTGCCTGAAGACGCTGCTGCTGCTCTACTCCTTCATCTTCTGGGTAAGAAAACCTGTTCTTCATGTCTTATTTTAACTTCAGCTAAATCCTGTCTCACAATCAGATCCAAGAGCTCAACGGGTTTGTTTAAAACATGTTTAAACTGCTGAAATGTCATTGAAATCCTCAGACTGAAATATTTTGAATAGGTGTAAATTTGATAAATTTTAGAATAAGCTGCATTAATTAAACATGCAGGTGAGTAGATAAAAACTTCAACCAATTTATCTATTTTTAAAGTGGACAAAGTCAAAGGTCATAGGATCGGTAATTATCTGGATTCTGAGGAATGAGTAGGATGAAGCCAGAGCTCTGACACCAACCTGAAAATGAAGACATGGACCTCCGGAGAGGGCACTGCTGAAACAACACCTGATAACAGGAAGCAGTCATGTCAGTAAAGCTGATCAGAATATTCTTGCTTTGTCTCATTCAGGCTCAGCTCTGGTTGTCTTAGTCCAGCTCCTGTTTTGTTTCATAATCAACAGTCTGTATTTCCTAACCATAATTTGTTGTTGTTAGTTTGTCCAACTTTTCACTTAACCTTTATTTTCTAGGCCTGATCAGTTGCTCAGTCCTATTTCTTATAAAACTTGCTGTACAGTTTGTTTGCAGGCTACATTGTTAACTAGTTTGTTTGTTTTTTTCCTAGTCCCAGTTATTTCCTTTCTCAATACAATACACCCTGTTGATTAGCAGCCTAGACGTTTATTGTTCATAGTTGCTTTCCACTGTAACCCATACAGCTATATTGCCCTAGACTTATTTTTTTAAACCATCCGGGTGGTTGTGTACCATTGATTGTTACCTAATGGATTATGCTAGTTACTTTATATAGTCCTAAATTTTGTTTCTTCCCAGTTGTCCTAACAAGGCCTGAATTCTAGTGCTAATTTTAGTCCAGTCCAATTTACAGTCTAGTCTGAGTTGCTACCTGTTCCTCATTACAATCTTCTCCCAGCTGTTGTCTTTATTTTTTTACACAGTCCTGTTTGCAGCCCTCTGTGTAGTTTCTATCTCAGTTTGTTGATTACTCTGAGTTGATGTTTTCTAGTTGCTTGTTGCCTAGGCCACCTTGATGCCAATGACCTAGGTTTTTCAAAGAGTCTGGCCATATCATTGCTGCAGCAGTTGACTAACACTACTATCTAGCCAGTCCACATTGTTTCCTTTTTAGCTAACTGTTCCCTACAAAACCCAGATTGTTGACTTGTCTGGTTTCTCGTCTTGTAATGCCTAATGTTGCCATACCCTGTTGTTGAGGAGGATTCATTGTTTGGTATTCCTGATTGTTTACTTCACTGCTGTTTTTTACGGGTTGTTGTCTTGTTTGAATTGTTTGCCCAATGCTGCAAATTGGGCTACATTTGTTTTTTGACTTATCATTTATGCTGTTAGTTTTATAGCTGATAAACATTTTCTTGTCATTGTTGTTGCTTCCTATTTATCCTAACAAGGCCTACTTTCTGTTAAGAGTTTAGAGTATCCCTACTTGTTGCCTACAGTAGTCCTGTTTTTCCCCATTTTGTTTCCTATCCCTAATTTCTAAGCAGTCTGTCCTGTGGTTTTCTAGTGCCTAAGTCTGCTTAATCTACTTGTCATGAAAACAATGGTTGTTGCTGCAACAACTGATTGTTGCCTATCTCTGGCTGTATCCTAACATTACTGGTAAGCCCTGCCGTGTCCTGGTAGTTACTTAATTGACTATTGCTGATCTTTCTATTGCAGTCCAGTTAGCTGTATTGCCCAAGATATTGCCCCAGCTTTAGCTGTTGCTTAGACTGAGTTCATCGAGTTCAGCTTCTTTTCCAGTCTTGGTTGCTATTGGATTTTTAGCCTCTGATCATTGTCAGGTCCTTCCTATTGCAGTGGCCAATTTGTCCTAATGAGGACTGTGTTTTGTGTGGTCTTAGAGATCTAACCTATAGCACAGACTAACTTCCTCTTGCTCTGAATGAGATTTCAGTGTTGGAGAGACTGTTTTCTCTCGATGGACGCTGACTGTAGTTCAGTCTGTCAGAAAAATTTTACCTGCTGAGTATTAAATTAAATTAAATTATCATTAAATTAATATTTAATATTGACCTTATCTGATCTATTTCTGTTTCAGATTCAAACATTAGTCTTTCATAACAGATTTTACAACAAAATAATCTAGTGCAGAATCATGTAAGTCACATTTTACTTTAAATGTCATTGTCTTTGTTGCTGGCACAAAGTAAATGATAAAGATATCGAACATTATTTCCCGGTCCATTTATTGTTGAAGTGAATCAGATTTTTTTTAATCTTCCCAGACACAATCTGTTGTCTGCTGCGCAAACACAAACTCCCACTTTTATCCCGAATCAAACCAACCTGACGTGACTCCAGCTGACAGACGGCTTTCTTGTCATCTGCGGAGTGTTTCAACAACCCAGCATGACTCCTTTTGAAACGCTCATACAGGCGCAGCAGGCAGCCCGGCACGACCGGGAGTCAAAATCAAATGCCTCCTTCATTTATCTCCTGCCAGCAGCCAGTGCCTTTTCTCCTCTTTCATCCTGTGCCGGTCTTACTCCCAAATCTGATCAGGCGTCCTCATAAACCACCTGAACAAGACATAGTATCCAGATAAAGAGCTGGCTCATCAGAAAAATTAGTTATAAATCATGAAACTGATATTTGCATGATAGGTCCTCAAGAGAATTTACAGTGATTTTCAAAACAAGGGAATTTCACCTTGTTAGAACCTTTTAAACAAACCTTTTAATCAATATGTCTGGTGATTTAGTTTGGACACCGTGCTCAAATATTATATATCAGATTCACGGACTCATGTAGCATAGAGAAAAATTAAGAACCAAACTGCAACAATCAGAAGAAGAAGAAGAAGAAGGACTGCAGATTTGAATCACGTTTCATATGTTTTTTGTTTTTATTTATTTATTTTTATAATTACCAGTTTTGACAAGGAGACTGGTATTGAGAGTTGGTGATGGTGGCCCGGGGGCTTTTAAGTGCTTTGGTAATTATTTTTTATTGATTTTTATGATGTCTGTGGACAGTTGACTTCAAAATAAAGGCTGAGATTGATGTTGGGAACGATATGAACTATGGACGCCTACCCTCCTCTCATTATGCCCCACAATCTTTTTCTTTTAAACACAAATATATTTAAATATATTTGTATCATTATAGAAACACAAACCTACCACCTACTCTAGTAATCTCAGTGTCCATCTTGTACTACATCTACTGACAACCATTCATCCAATCCACTCTGACTGGGTGGAGCACACATTTCCACAGTGGTGTTTTTTGGGAATGTTTTTGAGGACATTCCCTGACATTAGTGCACTCTGAAACCTCTTTGCTGCTAAAAACCGTAAAATGGATGCAATTATTATTGAAGACATCTGATGAGCTACCCCGGAGTACAACGAGTGAATTAAACTGGAGTGAAAACACTCCACTGCAGACATTATGAGTTTGTCAGAGTTACTTTTGCTCTTCTTCTGTGCGCTCTGACTGTGTCTGCAGCTGCTGAGCTAAATTCTTTCAGCTGGTTTCAGCTGTATGTAGCATCCAGTTTGTCATAGGGATGCTGGTCCAGCTTCTTTTCCCATCTGTTTGTCACTTTGTCACTTCACTGTCAGAGTCTGCAGAGACATGTGGTGCTTAATTACAGTCCCAGCTTCTGTGTGCGGTTCAACACGTCTGCTGCACAGCTTTAACTTCTTTTGCAGATTAAACTTTTGCAAAAAAAATTAATTTTTTTGACTGGACAGAAAACATTATAACTTGCTTTACGTACCAACTGTATAAAACTAAAACGCCTTTATGCTTCCTCATGAATGAATGATGAGTTTATAAGGGCTCTGTGGTCATATGAGGTTCGTGTCTTCATCAGCTGTTTGTGAACACTAAGGTTTTTGTTGATTTTTTTTATCATGGCTATTTAGTCTTTTCACTAAATTACTAAATAAATAAATAAAAGTCTACATCTTTTTTTGTCTCATATTATAATATATTATTCAATCCCCAACCAAGTAAAATGATAAAAAACATCCCAGGTCATTACAAAAATGATTTGTTACTTTTTTCTACACTTGCACATCAATGATTTGTCTCTAATTTGAAATTGTACTGTATAACTGTATATTTAAATGCTGCTTTTGTCCAGTTCTTCAAAATAGCCACTAAATATAGCAACAGGCATATCATCATAAAAGTGATGTTAGCTATATATTATATAATAATATATAATATATATTTTAAAAAGAGAGAAATTCGCACTAATAAACCATCTACCAAAATGTTAGTGGGGTTTTTTGTTTTTGTTTTTTTAATGGAGCAGTTAATACAATGAACTGAAATGGATTAAAATGCAAATTACAATCAATCAATGTAGTGTTTTTAAGTTTTTCTTTTCTTTTTCTTTTACACTCATTTTTTTAAACACTCCTTCAGGTGACAGGGGTGGTCCTGCTGGCGGTGGGGTTATGGTGGAAGTTCATGTTGGGTCCCTACATGTTGCTGATCTCTAGCAGCCCTTCCAGTGCTCCCTACGTCCTCACTGGCACCGGCGCGGCCATTGTCCTGTTCGGACTGTTCGGCTGTTTTGCCACCTGTAGGGGGCATCCCTGGATGTTAAAACTGGTGGGTCTTCCAGCTTACTCGGAATTTGTTAACAAATGTCTGACTAAACCTTTTATGAGTCTATTCAATGACCTACTAGAAGTTCTGTTTTATTTATTTTTTTATGTGACTAAAGGTTTCAAAATTAAAAATCTCTGCTAACTAATATATCTATCAAGTTTTTAGGTTTAATGACCAGTTAACTTGCTCATTCCGTATGGTGTGACTCCTTGTCCGACCTCTGACCTTTGATCTCTCCTCAGTACGCAGTGTTTCTGTCTCTGGTCTTCATGACTGAACTCATTGCTGGGATCTCTGGATTTGTCTTTCGTCATGAGGTCAAAACACACTTGAGAGTTTTCAGAATACCTTCAAAAAACACAGCTGCTCAAACTGACCAATATCTGTCTGTGTTTGCATGTTTAGATTAAAGGGACATTCCTCACTGCCTACAGTGCAGCAGTGATGAGATATGACGGACGAGATGACAGGAGTCTGGCAGTAGATGGTGTCCAACGCAGAGTAGGTGTTTTCCATGATCCACTCATTAATGTTTCGTAAGTAGTATATTGGAAACTAAAAAGTTACCTCTAAACTTGCCAAGTATCTTAATAAAAGAAGCAACTTTTGGGTGGTCCCTTATTCACAAAGGGTCACCATGGGAGGAAGTGGCACGTTTTATGCTGGTTGCCCTTCCTGACATAACCCCAAAGGATTTTGTGTCCTCTACTGAGACCAAACCAGGGATCTTTTACTTGTCAAGCTAAAGTCCAAACTGCTAGTCTATGGAGCATTTTACCTTATTACCAACACCTACATTTGTTTTTTCTTTTGGGTGTTCCTCAGGGTCATATTGTTGGTCTCTTATAGTTTTAACTTTTAAACAACCCTCTGTGGCATTAATTTTATTTTATTTCTTTAGAGAGCAAATATTTCATATTTATTTTTATTTTCTTGCAAGCCTGTCGGTCCCTATTGATGGATCAGTCAAGAAAGTTGTCCTCCCCTTGGTTTACTAAAGGCAATAAGGGGTACCAAAAATGTCAGTGTCACTGTTATATATACATACACACACATACACACACTCCTGTGGTAGCAATCAAATATATTTCAAATATTGATGCACATGTTTTATTAATGCAGTTATTCAAACATATAAAAATGATATAACTACTTTTATTTTATTAAACATGTCTCATGTCATTAAAGAACAAAGATTTTAAGGGTTGGTGTGATAACTAAATATGCAGTCTGCATGAGGACAATAACATACAATAGAGATAATTAATTTCCTAATAAAACAAACAAAAAGAAGCAAAAGGAACAATGTCAGAGACTTCATAGGCAAAAACATTTGCTGATATGTCCAGCGTTCTTTCATGCAGATTTTACACTGATGACGTCTTTCACACATTCAGAAACAAACATGATGAGATCTTGAAAAGTGGTGATTTGGTTGTCTCTGTTTCTTCAGTTACACTGCTGTGGAGTTTATAATTACACCAGCTGGTTCAGCAGTGTGTATTTTCCCATCAGTGGGATTCCTACCAGCTGTTGTGTTCATGTCTCTGACTGCAATGAAGCAGACCTGAAGAATACCACTCTGGCAGCTCAGAAGGTCTACAAAGAGGTCAGGAAGGCACAAATAATACATGAAGAAAATTCAGTGCCCAAAAGTTTTCATTTGCATTTGCTTTTCTGTGGAGATTATTAAGATTATTATAATTATTAAGTCTAACAACCACAATTATGCTAAGTGGTCACGTGATGGTGATCCATCAGTCTGTATTTACTGCAAATCACTTTACCCTGTCTCCGCAGGGTTGCTATGAGCTGGTTGTGTCCTTCATAGAGAGCAACATGGGAATCATTGCTGGAGTTACCTTTGGTATTGCCTTCTCTCAGGTACTAAACATGGCCTTTGGAATCAATAGGAGACAATAGGAGACAGTGACACTGAAGCAGAAATAAAATCCATCTCTGTGTGTTTTAGCTGGTCGGTGTAACTCTGGCCTGCTGCTTGTCTCACTTCATCAACAGCAACCAGTACGAGATGATCTAACAGGTAATTCACACATCCCCGGCACTAACCTATCACTTACTGATGGACACTAACTAACCAACCAAGGTGTAGCGTAACTAACCAAAGCTACACTTAACCCACCTGAAAGTGAGATCTAACAACAAAAGTAAACTAGAGTGCTTATGCATAGGAAAAAATATAATAGGAATGTGTGCATAAAAGAGCGCACACAGCTTTGGTAAGAAAGTACTTGGGGTACTTAGTGGGTAGAGTAGAAAAGGGCTATATACGTCGCAAATCTAGATCTTAACCTACTTCTAACTCACATCTACCTTACTTCAAACCTACATGTAGACCTTGAACTAAACCGAATTTACATCAAACACAGAGAACCTAGCCCAAATCTACACTTAAAACTACCCCAAACCTAGAGATACACAACCAATGCAAGTCTAGATCTTGACCTAAATCAAACCTAACTAATACAAACTGAGACCTTCACCTATAGAGATTGACAGACCACGTGACTTTCGCGCATTGCATGCCAGTAACTCGTGGCAAAACAATCCAAGTACCGCATCAAATGCAAGCATTTGCAGCACCGCAAAACTTTCATTCTCCGGTTCCAATAAATTCTTGCTTTCTCTTTGCCCCCCAAAAAAGGTATGTACAAAACGAAGGAGAACAATGCCGGTCCGTACAAAGACAGACTTGATGAAAAGTCAATATTTATAATTATACGGTTCTTGGAGTGAGTCCATACACTCATGAAGTTTAGTAACTTCAGGTCACTGCAACAAGCCCAGGTACTGTTTACCGACGAATGGGTACAGGACCTTGAAATGCACCGTGTAGAACGAAAGACCATCGTATGTATCATAAGTTTACCAGTCTCACAAATCGTCTTCATAAATACACATTCGTTAACCGTTTATTAATAGGACCTTTGAGCTCAACGGTAATTAATTAGTAGTGGAAATAATTTCTGGTACGCGTTACAGAAATGTAGCAGTGACAATAATATTGTATGCTGTAATCGCACTGGGCAATTAGTGATACAAAAAAACTGTTTTATCCTGTGAATAAAAGTATATGTTTTTGTCAATGTACCATGGTAATAACAGAAGCGAAACACAATATTCTGTTAGGACAATTCACTATTTATGCACAATAAACAAAGGAGCATAGCGCGACAATTTCTGTTCAGCGCCAGACTTGCTTGTAACCTATATCACCAATTATGTTATGAAAAATGACGTATTAACTACTACAAAACACTGACCTTTGTGGAAATGCTTGGAGCAGACTAACATGTGAGCTGGAGTGTTCTGGGATGTTATATTTGGTCTTTGAATGTCTGCAATCCAGGCCATCTGTTGCCTCTTTGTTACTTCGGAAACATGACTTGAACAATTTCTCTTCAACGACGTAATCCGATAACAACCGATCTCTTTACCCGTCGGCTTCCCGTGGCTGTCATGCGACCGGCTATTGCAGTTTACAACAGCATCTTGCCATTTTTTGTGTTTCTTTTTATCGCTGTGTAACTGATTTCAGTTGAAAGCCTGCGTGCGCTAGTACCTCTTGCCACGAGTTCCCAGAATTCTTTGCGGTTTTGCCCCTGAATGACGTCACATTTTCAATCTCTATACAAAACATTAACCTTTACCCAACCCATATAACCTTTCACAATCCTACATCTAACCTGACCTACCTCAATCTACCATCTACCCCAAGACTATACCTTAAACCTACTCCTAACCTAAACCTAGATCTGCACCTTACCTGCAGGGATAGCTGGGGGCAGTGATAGCTCAGTAGGTAGAGTGGTTGCCCCATGATTGGAAGGTCGGGGGTTTGACTCCACTGAATGGCCACCCTGAGGTACCGTCCCTACACACTGCTCCCTGGGTGCTGCATTGGTGGCTGCCCACTGCTTGAATGGGTTAATTGCAGAGGAGTAATTTCCCCATGGGGACTAGCACATACACATTATGACATTATTATTATTGTTATCTCAAACCAAGTTAAAACCTAAAGCTACACCTAACCTACCCCAAGACTCAACATTAAACTTACTCCCAACCTAACTCCAACTTCATAACTATATTTGATGTACCCCCAACATAGACCTACACCTAACTTACACTAAAGCTGAACACACCCAACTTGAAAACTAAAGTTTACTTGACCACATTCTCAACTCTTTAAGTGAATGTAAAACAAGCATGTGCTGTTGTTTACCTCCATGTCTGTGTTTTCTTTTGCAGGAAAGTGAATAAGATGTACATCACCATGGAAACCTTAGGAAAAACACACACATACAAACGCGCACTGTTAACATTCCTGTTGTATTTATTTTGTGTCTTGCTGTGAAATACTGAAAATTGACCCCTTTGTGTTCTCTCTCTTTGTGTTGTTAGGATCTTTCTTTGTATGTGTGTCAGGCTCAGGTCCTGAAAAGACCTGTTGTCAGTAACAATCATATTCAGAAAGCCCTCTTAGGGGCACCAGAACACTTGAAAGGCTTTCACATTTTTAGGTTAAAGTTGAAATTTGATTCTGTGGCAGTGTGCTGTGTTTGAAAGACGTGTTGTTCATGTTTCATATTCTGTGTACTGTGATGTGACAGATTTTATATTTCTGTTTTCTGAATGACAAACTCACTGATAACTATTTGAGACATGCAATGTTTTCAACAAAATAAATGAGGCTGCGCGTTGTGTCGATAAATCCAACATAAGAAAACCTTACATGTAACATCTAACTTTACTTTGACATAATAGCATCACACAGTTGCTGCAGCTTTGTCAGCTCCACATCCATGTGAATCCATCCACAAGAATCTCCTGTTTAACCACATGCCCAAAGGTGCTCCATTAGCTTGAGGATCTCGTGTCTGTGGAGGCCATTGGAGTACAGAGAACTCATTGTCATGTTCAAGAAATCACTTTGAGATATAGTTTCATGACATGGTGCATTTTCCTAATGGAAGAATTATTAGGATAGTTAACAATACTTAGGTAGACTGTGGTGTTTAAACAATGCTCAGCGTGCCAAGAAAATATCCATCACACCTTTACACCAGAAAAAAACTAAACCACTGATACAAAGCTGGAGAGACCCTTTCTTGCATGTCATTCATCAAATTGTAAACCTACCATCTGAATACTAAAGCTGCTATCTTCTCGAGCTATTTTCTCTTAGAGAGCAGTCATATGTTCAGAGTTGCTTAAATCAGCTTTCTTTTCCCTTCTCATGCTCACTTTGAACTTCAGCAGGTTGTCTTGATTATTTTATACATGCTTAAATGCATTAGTGCCATGTGATTGGCTGATAAGATATTTGTATTAATAAGAAGCTGACAAGTATACCTACTGCTGTTTGGCATTATTTAAAAAAGAGAATCCTGGTAATAAACTAAAATACACTGTGAAAATAAATACTTCATGGCTGGGGAAGAATTCAGTCGTAATATAATGTGGAGCCAGACGGGGGCAATGTTTTACACATCCATCCATTAGAGACAGACCACCATTCCCACTCACATTCACACATAACACACAATTTAGGATCACCAGTTAACCTAGCATGCATGTTTTAGAACTGACTGTGGGGAACCAGAATTCCCCGAGTGAATCCATGCAAACACGTTAGAACATGTGAAATAATCTTTAAAATACTCATTTGTAGAAATGAAAACAGCAGCATGAGATTGTGAAAACCTTCCTCATATGGAATCAGAAACTTCTAGTGAGTTTTAAAAGTTGTAATATTTTAAATTAAATTTGTAATGAACATTTAGTAACATCATCCTTAACTCCTTTGAAATATAATCTAGTCTGATTTTATAATCATTATCATTATATATATTATTTGATCTATATCTTTTGATTTATTTGAGCTACCTTACTAAGTCCTGATGTACTAAATAAAGGACATCTTGGGCTTTCCGTTGATATCTGATGTGTTTGGGTGGTCTCCGTTACCTCCAAATAGGAAGGAAATCACAAAAAACGTTTCATGGGAAGATTCTCTTTTCCTGGGTTCTCAGGAGGATATTGATGTTTATTTGTTCATACAAAAGTAACATTTATTTCTCCCCAAAGAGGGTGGACAAGGTTGCATCAGTCAAAACGTGACAAACAATATAAAATAAAACAAAGTCTTAATAATATATTTAAATTTTAATGTAACTACTGCTTTCGTTGTAAACCTTAAATGTAAATAAATATATTATTTCCAAAGCTTTATTTTTATTCAAGTCAGTTTATAAACAATGCAACACTATCCGACGTTCTCCGTGACGTCACACCCTCTGTGATTGGCTGTGATCGTGATCCCATGTTTTGCTCCGCCCCGACTCTCCTGCCTCCCTAACAACCACAACCGGCCCGACCGTCTACAAGATCCCTTTTCCGGACAGCTTTAACGGGCAGAATCAGCGACTTGGTACCCAGGAACCACAGCCGACACACGGTAAGCTGACGTAGGCGCACTGCCGCCGGTGTTTACCCGTTTTAAAAGTAGACTTAGCGAGCTAACGGTACCCGGAATCAGCCGCCGGGTGGCGAGGCTAATAAGAGCAGCTGTGCGGTCATTTGTTCCAGTTAAAATGAAGATTTAAGCGGTGTAAGCGTCGCTAATTCACAGTTACATAGGATGGATGGATGGATGGTTTATTGGTCCCGCCTGTTCAAAGGTCCCCTGGTTTAGCTTTAGGTAGAGGCCGGTGCTTTTATCGGACGGCGCTGTGATTCCCCTTCATTTCCGTGTTTTCTCCTGCAGACCCCCCTCCTCCTCTGTCCGGGCTGCCACCGCAGGTGTTCACGCTGTTTTTAAAAAACGTTGCCAGCACCTCACGTTTCTCACGTTTATTTGCATGCGAGGCTGTGGCTGTGCAGCACAGAGAGATTTAAATAATGCAAATCGATCTTCAGCAGCGACAGAGGTGGCTGAATATGAAGTAAGTAACGGGGGGGGGGGGATCCGATGTCCGATAATGGATGCACGATATACTGTTAGAGCTCCTGGCTAGTTCCCCCATCCCTGAGCTCTGTAGTTAAATCATGAAGGCCTCAAATGACCCTGCAGATGTCATGGGTGTCCAGCATGTCCAGGACATCTCCTGGACATGCTGGGTCTTCATTTGAAGCTGCTTCATCCTTCCTCCTCTTCCTTTTGTGTTTTTATATCAGGTTTACGCCTCTGGAGTCAGCTGGAGTCCTGCAGCAGAAACACGGGGCCCTCAGCTCAGGAGTTGGCCCATTTTGGAGCAGTGAGTGCCTCCACAGTCTCTCAGTAATCCTTTAAGGAGCATTAGCGGGCTAAGTTTGGCGCTGCGACCGCTGGCCAACACGGGCCCTCACCAGCCGCCGTCATGCAGATACCTGACTCCTACAACCAGAAGAACTCACTCTTCAACGCCATGAACCGCTTCATTGGCGCCGTCAACAACATGGACCAGACAGTGATGTTGCCCAGCCTGCTGCGGGACGTCCCGCTGGATGACAGGGATGACCTGAAGCCGACAGAGAACGGGGATGGTGGGGATGACGGTGGTGGCACAGGTAGCACCGACAGCGCCTACTTCCAGCCTGATGCTGACATGTACAGCTCATACATCCTGCTTAAATCCATCCGCAATGACATCGAGTGGGGCGTCGTGCAAGGCGAGGAGTTGCGAAAGGAGAAGGCGGGTGTGGCCAGCGTGGTGGTGGCAGAGGAGGATGACCTGGAGAAGCAGTTTCACTTCCACCTGAATGGACTCCACGTGGTTCTGTCGAAACTGACGCATAAAGCTAACACACTGACGAATCGCTACAAGGAGGAGATCGGCTGCGGGAACTGAGCGCTGAATGTTCTGACGGTTGGCGCTCTATGGGTTTTAGCTCAGTAACTACAAGCGAAGGAAGGAGCATGTGCAGACGCCAGAATTCACTTAAAAGCTTTTTCACAGCCTACAGTGGTGGATATCATTGTGTTAAATTAACTAGCCAGTCCCAAAAACGGTGAATAAAAATATCTGCAGATTGATTGTGATTGTGTGACTGGAACAATTTGGGAATTTTTTTGTCAAATACTGAGAACTACAATTTTAATAACAGTTATTCAGTCAACTGAGTCCTTGTGAGGGTCGTTAAATCATCTTAAATGCCATTTTTTTGTATTCACTGGCAGCTTTTTGGATCTCATTTTGGCACACGCACTTTAAAATTCTGAATTAAGTCTGGATCTGTGCTACTAAACAGTAAGTCAGTACGGTAATGAATTTGTAGAGTTTTTGCTTGAAACCCTCCAAAATAAACCAATAGTAAAACATTTTAATTCATCAGCTGCTCGCTGGTGGTGAATGCTGGAGTTCAATCACATGGAATGTGATTACAGAAAGTAGCTTTAGTAGTAAATTCAGCTTTAAATATTGTAAACTTAAGACCTTAAGACTTAAGTTTGATTATCAACTCTTAAATATATCAAATTAATAAGTTTAAGAGATAGATGATGGGTATGCAGGAGAAGGACAAAGAATCTAAAATTGATTAATTTTGAATATTTGGTTGGTTGACCTTTCATCAGGAGAAATCTGTTACACTTCTAAACTACTGTAAACAAACATAACCTTAAAAAACCCCTAATCTAAACAATTTTAAATGAAATAGGATCCTGGTATAATCCCTGTGGAATACCATTGAGCCAAAAATCTGTCTCTGATTCCAATAACTCTTTCTTTGGCATACTTTAAACACCTGAATCCACTGTTTGTCTTCTGGATATGACATCTTGTTAAGATTCGGCAGATTAGAGTGTCTCTGCTCTGAGCTCCCTACAGCAGTTTGTAGTTAAAGAGCTAAAACATATTCTTCATGGACTTCCCTTTTTTTTTTCCTTGAAGACTTCGTCTAGGTGGTGGGCTGCTTGCATTCTATTTTCAGGGTTGACGTCTGTCCGTTTAAAACAAAAAAAAACCAAACAAACAAAAAATCTCCTGACATCCTTCATTTCATGCTGCAAATTCCAAACTATGCAAACACACGAGAGCACAAAAGAAGCTGGCTTGACATTTCTGTACAGCTTTAGACGCACAAAAAGGAGAAAATATGAATCCTTAAATTTCCCAATAGTAATAATAACCCAGTTCTCATGGTGCATGATCGTTCATAACCTGTTAACATCTCCTGACAATCGATTGTAACCAGACCACAAATTCCCAGTTCTTTGGTTTAACTTAAATGTGGAAGTTCTGATATTTTAAAGATGCCACAGTTTGTCCATTTATTAAAGGACTAAAGCACCTTATTTTTAAAATTTTAAGGAGTTTGGCAGAAACCCATAGTTTTTGTCTGGTTTCAGCTGAATAAAAGAGAAGGTGTAATGAATGGTTATTGGCTGATTTTTGAACTGAACTTAAAGAAGTGAATGTTTTGTTCGTTGTCTCAAAGCTTTATGTTAATGAATTGAACACTGTGCTTGATGGTCGATGACACGTGAAGGCGTTCTGGAATCTGTGTGTGTATGTGTGTGTGAAGAATGCTGGGTGTACATATACTGATGTTTATTGGTTTTTCTATTTCTGTCCAGTTTGACCATTAAAAGATTTTGGTGTGTATTTTTGGTCTTTTCGTTCATCAAAACTTACTGACCACATTTGGGGAAAAAAATGGTTTCCGTATCGCTGCAACCATCCACAGCTCCAGACCACGTGTTACGAACTGGAAATGGAGGCCCTTTGCCTCATGCCTTGTGTGCACGACATCACATGAGAAACCTCAGCAGAAAACCCCTTAATAAATGTTTTAGGCTAAATATCTGGGAGCATGTTTCTATGAATGTGGACTCCCAGAAGTGGAGCTCTAGGTAAAGTATTTAGATATCTGACAGCAGATTTGCCTGTAGAAACCAGAGCTTCTCATGTACGAGGCACATATTCACAGGGCTCACCACAGCAGGTAGCGCCACATGTTTGATTTGGCATATTTATTTATGCCAGATGCCCCGTAAGGGTTTGTGTATCCTTCTGGTCTCAAACCAGGGATCTTTCATGTGTTAAGGAACATAATATCTTTAAAATAATGCAGGTAGTTTCACAGATATCAAAACAAATGTCCGGCTTCATTGTGATATTCCCCATGTGTGACACCATACACCAAATCCAGATGGACTTCTTTAGACAATGGAAATTTCTAATAAATTTGTGAAAGTGTTTTTTTGTGAATCTTTGAACTGCTTATATTTCTGTGGTTTTCTAGATAAAACATCTAAAAACACCCCTTTATCCCTTTTCAGTCAATTTGCAGTTGGGAACCTGGAATTCTGCAGAATTCCTATCGAGAAGTGCATCTTTGCCCTGAAAAGTGTTTCCAGGCAAATCTGTGATGGTCAGGTGGGAGGAATTTAATGAGCTGGCATTGAATGACCCAGTTTTATTTAAAGAGCAAGGAAGCTCCTGTAAAAAGACATGTATTTTTAAAGTTCAAAAATATATGACAGTTAAGTGAATAAATAGTTATAATTATGTTTGTTTTTGCTGGGTTTTGCCTAAATTGAGCAGCCCAACCTTCAGGTTCAGGGTTTGACATTATATTAGTCATAACCTATAAGATACAGCAAAGACTGGGGATCTTACAGATGGCTCTAGATGTATTAATAAATTAAAAAAAAAACAACTAATAAATCATGGTCATCCACAGCAAGTTGGTACAAATTAAAGATATAAGCAACATCTCTCCAAAATCCTAATTTGTCTCCTGTAGTAGGTTAACCTTACAAATCAAAGCTGTAGCTTACATATTAAAAGTTCACCAGTGCTGATAATCTTTTTCTTCAGATGTTTTGCTTGCTCTAAACTCCAGAAAGATTCCCATTAATGCCCTGTGTGACAAAGAAAAGCATCAAATACTGTCTTAATCCTTTTTTTTTAGATCTGTAAAAATGCTGATTAACAGGAAGTCTGCATCGCCGGGTTATTCTGGGTCGTATCAGATCAGCAGGTGAATCTTGTCGATCATTAAATTCACGGAAAGACTAACAGGACATCTGCAGCCAATCACACCTCCATTCACCTGTAATCTTCCATAATCCCTCCGACCTCGGAGCTGAAATGACTAAACTCAGCTGCCAGATAGTTTCCAACACAGAGGAGTCAGTGAACGCCCCTTCACCCGCCAGAAACTATCTGCTGCTTAGTGTTATGGAGCGATTGTGGCTCAAGAGTTGGCAGTTCGTCTTGTAATTGGAAGGTTGCCGGTTCGAGCCCCGGCTCGGACAGTCTCAGTCGTTGTGTCCTTGGGCAAGACACTTCACCCGTTGCCTACTGGTGGTGGTCAGAGGGCCCGGTAGCGCCAGTGTCCGGCAGCCTCGCCTCTGTCAGTGCGCCCAAGGGTGGCTGTGGCTACAATGTGGCTTGCCATCACCAGTGTGTGTGAATGGGTGGATGACTGAATGTGTAAAGCACTTTGGGGTCCTTAGGGACTAGTAAAGTGCTATAAAAATACAGGCCATTTACCATTTATGTTGATTCATCAGTTATTTATACATAAAGAAAATAATATATAAAGAAGAAAAACAAATTAAGGAACAAATATTAAGAAGAGTAGCCTCATAGAAGGTCAGAAAAGTGACCAAAAAAAATTTATTTTGATGTTTTTAAGATGGACCTATTTTATTATATTTTACTATTATATTATTTAATATTATATTATTATATTTTACTACAACAGTATGACAGGTTTGGATAGGAACACTCCCCTTAATTTGTTTGTCTCAATTAGATAAAATACCATTCAGGTGAACTATCAGCCATGAAATGAACACATAATGCCCATCCAAACGTCACTGAATAGCTCCGTGAAATCACCTGGCCTAAGATGATGTCTGGATAATGTTGGTTTCTATTTTTACTTCTTCTGGGCCTCAAACAAAACCCATAAATATCAAAACGTTACATTCAAAATGTAGGGTTATTGTCTCAAAATTTTAGGTAATTATCTCAACACTATGTAAAAATTTGGGGTCATTATCTAAAGATTTAGGGTTATCTCAAAATTTGTGTTCACTATTCCAGATTTCAGATAGTTTACTTCAAATTTAGGGTTAGTATGTCAGGATTGTGGGTTATCTCAAAATATTGGGTAATTAGCTCAATGCTTTGGGTCATTATCTCAATTTTTTTTTTGTTTCGATTACCTAAAATGCTTGGTAAATGATCTAAAAAAAAAGAAGCCATTTATCTAAAAGGCCTGGGTTACCTCAAAACATGGGGTTATTATCTCAGTATTTTGGGTAAATTATATCAAATTTATAGATCATTTATCCCACATGTCTAAAATTTAGGGTTTTCTCAAGATCTTGGGTGAACATTTAAAATTTTTGAGATAGTTTACCCCAAATTTATGGTTAGTATCTCAGAATTTCTGGTTATTATTTCAAAAATATTGGGTAAATAGCTCATAATTCTGGGTTATGAAAACCTTTTGGTCATTATCTCAATATTTTGAGTGAATTATCTGAAATTGTTTAGTTTATTGTCATCTCAAAATTTTGAGATTTACCCAATAGTTCTGATGAGTATCTCAAATCTCATTTTAAGATTATTGTCTCAAAATACTGGTCAATTATCTCAAAATAATAATTCACTACTGCATGTTTTTGGTTCACCAGAATTTATTAGGCTTTCTGTGAAGTGCAACCTGGTGGTGGAAAAAAAATGGGATAAAGTTGTTGGGCCATTTCAACAATATAGTTAATGGAAATTTGTCTTGGTGTGCTCACACATACAGCAAGGTCAAGGTCAAGTTTATTTATATAGCACATTTTCAAAGTCCATGATGCAAGTGCTTAACAATGTAAAATGCCACAAATAACTAAAATAATCTATAAAAACAACTAAAACAACAACCACAAAAACCAAAATGTTTAGGTCAATGTGTTTTAAATGCCAGACCATAAAAATGTGTCTTTAGTAAAGGTTTAAAGTGTTTGAGCATTTGTGTGATCTAGAGAAGGCTCTGTCACCATGAGACTTCAGTTTAGCGTGTGGAATAGTTAAAGGTTAGTTTTGACCTGGATCTCACGGTTCTTTCTGGAGCATAATTAAATAGGAGCTCAGGTAAGAAGGAGTTTGGCCGTTAAGTGATTTAAAAACAAAAAGTAAGATTTTAAATTGGATCCTGTAAGGAACAGGAAGCCAGTGTAGAGAGGCCAACACTGGGGTAATATGCAGTTGCATTATGGACCAACTGGAGACGATACAGTAAGGCACATAACAGCACAATATGATACAAAACACAAGTGCATGCAACCCTGTCATACTACAGGGGGTGTCCCTATCTTTAAAGTGCTTTTCAGTGCAATGAGTTGCAGTCAAGATTGCAGGAGTGAAAAGTCCATACTGCAGAAGGTACAGTTAATGTTGCAAGTGCATGATGCATATGTATGAGATTCAGGGCTTAATACACTCTGACTTCGAAATAAAAGCCCAGAGGGTTTTTTAAAGAGTGCCGCCAGGTAGTAAGACTTACCTATAAAGGGACTGGATTGACGCCCGAAAACAACACGCTTGATCTAAATAAAGTTCTGTTCTATTTTTTTTAATCTAAATTTATTTTTTATACATTTTATTGAAAGTTAAAGTTTCCATTCATTTAATATATTGCAGTTTGTCCTCTAACAGACTTCAATAAAGAAGTCAGCAGGGGGCGCTGTGGTAACACCACAGTACACACACACACACACACACAAACACCTCATATCACTGTGCAGCAGAGTGAGTGTGTGTATGTGTCTGTGTGTGTGTGCGTGTCAGAGTGCCAATTAGTGTTTGGGAGGTTTAGCCCAGAATAATTAACACACACATACACACACCCACACACAAAAACGGTTTTCATTAGTTTGTGTGTAAATGTTTGCGTGCGGAGGAATGAAGGCAAAGTGTGAAAATTAAAGGTCAAAGGTCAGCAGCAGGAGGGGGTGGAGGAGCGTGTTTAAAGTTTTTGTGTGATTGATTGCTGATCAGTGTGTGTGTGTGTGTGTGTATTTGTACTTTAAACCTAATCCCAGCCCTCCTCTTTATGTGTGTGTGTGTGTGAGTGTGTCTTTCTTTGTGTGCGTGTCTCCGTCGTTGTCGGTGCTGTCAGGCCTCGTTTCCGTGACGGCCGGCGCTGCAGCTCTGATTATTCACCTGTCACGCCGCTCGCTCTCTCTCCCACACGATGTTTCTCGCCTGTGCGTGTGTGTCTCCCTCCTCCCTCTGCGGCTCACTGCTTTGACAGACAGTCGGAGGTTTCCACAGCCTGTACACACACACACATGTACACACACCACAAATGTCTCTGTTATGACAGCTTTCACACATTTTCTATGTAAAGTTTTTTAATCACAATCCGACCACCAGGGGGCACCAAAACAAGGATGGTATTGTTACACTAAAAAACACCTTTTTTGTCAAGTTAACAGCAAATAATTGATGATAATAAAAAGTAGAAGAACAAAAGTTATGTTATTTATTTTACTCAAGTATCTGACCTAACAAGTTACAGCTAGCTAACCATCTTCATGTTTGTAGCTACTGTGGTCAATATTATTATCATCTTTCTGCCATTATCGGATTGA